AGCCGGAGCGCGCGCCGCTTCCTGACGCCCCGGCTGCCGACCCGCGCGAGCGGGCAAAGTCCGCCGAGGTTATAGCCAAGCCGAGGAGGCAGCTGGAGGAAAGAAACTGTTCGTGGCGTCCGCCACAAAAAGAAAGGGGGGGGGGGATTGGGATGTTCCGGTGCCTTAAAGAATAGTTAGGACCGAAGCTTGTCTGCACTAGGAGACCTGGTGGGAAAGAAGCTTCAGTCTTGGTATACACAACCTTCTAATAAGCTGCTGCGATTAGCAGAGGGGAAATAGCTATTGTACAGGGTGGACTGGGGAAGACTTTAATTTACCTCTCCTCCCGGTGATCAATGAAAGGCCAAGAAGCCAGCTGTCCCAATATGTACGCTGAGTCTGTGACTGCCTCATACAGTGCAGTAAGTCACAGTATGGTTTGTATATAATTTATTTGACAAACCAAAAACAACCTATGGTTTATTTAATGGCAAACACAGTTTACAGGATTGTGTGAGAGAGAGTGGACATTTCTCCACATGGACCTAACCACAGTACAAACTTGCCTGGGCAACATCTTTTTTTTTTTGCTAAATTTCAAGATACTGTTTTCCTCTTGCCCTCACTCCCTAAATGCAATAGGTTTAAGTCATCCTTAACTATGTTGGCATTAAAGTAGTGTTTTCCCCCTTAAGATTATAGCATTCAGTGATACCAACATGTGTAAAAGTTGTTATGCTTCCCCTATTACACCAGAAGCGAAGTCAGATGATCAGCGGGGCATGGGATTAAAAACCTATTGGCCATTTCAGGCTGAAATGCTACCTCCCTTCCAGTACCCAGTCACTTTTATTGCCACCATTCTGCTGTTGACACCCTAAAAGCCTGGATTGTTGGGGTCCCTGAGAGCAGCATGAACTATGCAGAAACTCATCAGAGGCACACTTTAATATGTATTGCTATATTGGAACAGCAGCCATAAGAGATAGTGTCTGAGTAGGCAGGAGAGAAAGTACAGAATTTAACTCAATCACCTTTCAAATCCTATGCACATTTTTGTAATGCCACCACCATGGAGTTTCTTTTCTCTCACTCCCTCATCTCATCTCTTGGAGACAGTTGCATATATAATATAAGAATTAGTTCCCAAATGGATAGAGGTTCAAGAGACAGCCATCTGCAAATTTCCGTTATCAGTGAAGATACCTGCCTCCTTGCTGGTTCATTGGAAGGCTGTTAGAAGGAGAATCAGAAAGTCTCTGTCCTGATGAACACAGGGCATCTACAGGGTGGGGCTTCAATTGCTTGATTGCAGCCATCATCCTGACTTATTTGAATCACCACCACTTCACCCCAGCAGACACACCTGTACACAGGGATATATTCATTCTATATAGATATTTAGGTAGTCCTCAGCTTATGACCATTTGTTCCACAACTGTTTGAAGTTACAGTCGCACTGAATGGACTTAGGACCAGTCCCTGAAGTTACAGCCATTGCAGTGCCCCCACAGTCATGTGATCAAAATTCAGGTGTTTGGCAGCCCACCTGCACTTATGATCATAGGGGTGCTTCAACTCCCCCTGCTCATCTATCTCACCCCCCCCCATCTATGCCTTTTTGACCCCCTGAACTCCATGGCCTCTGCCACCCTAGCTGACCTTCACTGTCTTCTTGCTCCCACTGCTGACCAAGCATGCCCGGCCTGGCCCTTTGCAAGGCAGCTTCTGGTGACACGAGGCTTTCTTCCTAAGGTCACATATGGCAGTTTCCTCATGAGACCTGGGGAAGATGGCCTCACATGGCCAGCAGCTGCCTTGTGAAGGGCCAGGGTGGGCACACCTTTTCAGCAGCAGGAGCAAGAAGAAGGTGAAGGTCAGCTGGGGTGGCAGAACACAGGGTGGCAGGGGCCTTAGAGTGCAGGGTGGCAAGGGTGACCACAGCTGGGACTGGGCTGGAGTGACTGTGACTTCCCAGTGTGTGGCGGCTTCACACCATGCTGCTGGGGTTTCCCAGGGTGCTGCAGCTTCATGCTGCACTGCTTGGGCAGCTGAGGCTTCCAGGGGCAGCTGCAACGTTGCACTGCACTGCAGCTGAGGGGCTTCCTGCAGCCCCAGAGCTGCAGTGCAACAAGAAGCCCCTGAGCTGCAGCAGGGCAAGCAGCCCCAGAGCCATGCAGTTCTGGGGCTGCTTGCTGCCCCACCAGGCAGGGTGCAGAGCAGCCAAAGGGGCAGAGATGGGAAGGGAGACAGCTGGGTGGGGGGAGTTGAAGAGGAGGCAGTCCATTACCTTACCGAGGCTCAGGGCTGGGAGGGACCAAGCCCAGAATGGCTTGGATTGGGGTGGGTCCTCAGCTAACAACTGGTGGAATTTGGTTAACGATGGCAACGGGGAGTACCAGGATTGCTATTGCTAAGCTATGTGCTCATGTGACATTGCACTTTACGACCACATCACTTAGTGATGGAAATTCCAGTCCCAATTACCGTTTTAAGCTGAGGACTACCTGTAGTTCACTTGCTAGAATTCTTGTAATCCCATCCCGTCTATCGCAATAACTCTTGCTAAAATGAACTCTGAAAATCATCCTTGGAAAAGAATCACTTTAAATTTAGGCAGCTGTCAATGAGCATGACATTTACATTTTCTTCATTCCTG